CTACCGGCGGCGTTACCACATTTCCGGCCAAATTACATAATGGTAATAAGCAAAGACATATCCAGCGGTATGGTCGGACGTGAACCGTTATTTTGCCGGAGGATAAGTGCTATTATCTGGCTCATGAGCGAGGAGTGACATTCGTGTCGTTGTTCTTCGAACTCTACCCCGGAACTCTCCTCTGGTTTTCACATCTGAATTTAACTTTCTACATCCGAGTTCCAGCTCGTTGTACCTGCGATAAGCGTTATCGCCTCGCTCTGAAGTGAACGATGGAACCATCTGCCTCGAATCTTTCCCCCGATGCTTGACATTTTTCCTCTTTTGCTCGTCTGATTCGTCGAAGAAAAAAAAAATGTCCCATTGCTTAATTAGTAGATGTATTCTCAGTTTATTCGTTTAGCTTTTTTGCTACTCTGTTCTTTATTTGAAAAAGGAAAAGAAAAATATCGCATTATTTAATCGGCACATTAATTTTCAATTTTAATTCCAAATTTATTCGTTTAGCTCTTTCGCTATTCCGCTCTTCGTTAAAAAAAAAAGAGACAAACGCCGCGTTACCAAATTCAATCTTAATTATTGCTCCCCACTCGGCGGCGAATATTATTCCACGGTTACGATTAACCAGAATATAATTTCTGAAGTGAATGAGCAGACACGCGAGCTGGTGTCGGTATTTCATCTCCGAGAACATTATCCGGAAATGTACGTCCGTTCTACCTGGCGGCCAGTACCAAATTGATACAAGATTCCACCGGTGCACGTGCTTTGACCTATGTTTGCTCGCAATTGTATTCATTATATCCACTGCGAATGAAGATTTATTCGACCGTGATTCTGTTTATCTTCAACGCGCATTAGCTTTCCGTCATTTGCTCCCCTCTACCATTTATCCTCGCGATATACCGATCACCAGATAGATAATCAAAAATAGTGCACAAACATTCCGGTATCTGTTATATTTTTCAATTTACAATACACTGCCACTACAGTGCTAATGAATTTCTGATTGGACAGCTCAGAGATACGGTACTGTACGCGTGTCTGTAAAACACGGTGCAGTATCAAACAGTAAATAACAAGGAAATACGAGACTAGCTATTGTTGAAATTTTTATTCCTGTTTTTATCGCAGACACGTAATAAAGAATACAAGAAGTGACAAAGTACACAGTTTCTCTGATTCACTGTGCACAGAGTTCGTTTTGGTTTCACCAATTAAAATCGCGCCGATTGTCGTATGAAACAGATAAGTTACGGTTGTGGTAAATGTTGAAGATTGTTTCTAATTCGATTCGAAACTTTTACGAATTTAGAGCGGGATATAGTGCGGCAGATGCGATAGGAAATATCAACACAGCATTTGGGGCGGAAACGAGAGCATTTTTTAATAAGAAAGATATTCGACAATTAGAACAGAATTTTTCTAAATTCACTTTCAGTTCCTTCGCAGAAATATGATAAACGTAAAAATTAAATTTCAAGTCTCGTTTATAAATCTTGGAAATATTAGGGCATTCCATAAGTCCCTGACGAATTTTATAATTTAGATCAATATTTAAAAAAAAAAAAAATGGAAGCATCTTCTCCTATTTCCTTGCTAAGACCATTGTCTTTACTACAGAATTTTCTTAGATTTTCATTAGAATATCGTTTTTGCACGAGTTCGCGATGCAACGCGATCTACTTTACTAAAGATGGCGCGTTAGTGAAGGTCGTAACTCTTCACTCCGATGTTTCGACACCGCGTATCGTACAGTGTTTTTCCTTACGATCGTTTCCGGAGGTAAGGAATGATAGTTGAGATGTGTCTTTTGGTTTTTCTTGTCCTCGTGAAGTGTCTTTTTTGAACTCTTTATTTTGTGGTGGTGCGTGGGTATATATTAGGTCGGTGTATGTTCTGATTGGTTGGACGTTGAAGGTGGTGGAAAAGAAGGTCTCGAAAAATGCGGAGGTGTGATTGGATATTAGGAAACTAGTGGAAGGAGAACGTGAGGGTGAAGGTGGTGTGTAAAAGTTGAAATAATTTGGGGAAAACCCGGAAAGGGGAAAGGGATTGGAAACATGACCAGGATGCGACTTGAACTGCTTTATGGTAGGGAAGGAATTTGTTAGGGGCTAGGAAGACGGCTGGAAAGGACTGTTTATTAGTTCATGATGTGTTACTGGCCGGTGGGCTGCGACAAGGACAATCGAACAAATATATTTCGCTTTCAGCGCGAACCCAAAGATTTCTCAAGAAAATCTAGAATACAATCTCGCTCTCGAACGACGACATTATCACAGTCAATCAGAGTTATACCAAACTGTACCAGCAATCGAGGAACAAGGGCCAATCACTTGACCTCGCACCACACGTTACCTTTCAAACCATCATACCACCGTTCAATAACAACTTTCATAGTTCACTCTCTATTTCACGTCTCCGCGCAATCCTGTCGTATACTCTATCCACGAATACTCTGTAATTACACGGTAACGATCGCCGTTGCTCCTCCGACGCAGAAACGCATCTCTCACAGCTCGATCCTCCGACACGCGATAATTCCACGAATCTGTTTGCCTCGGAATCGCTCCACTTTTCGAGTGCACGGGCCATTACTCACGATACAGAGCAGAGGAGGCTGTTATTAACATTCCCCTCGGGCCAATTTGTTCCGGAAGAAGCTGTAGCGACAACGGATGATGGATCATCACCGTGGCAAATTGTGCACGCTCTTATTAGCCCTGTGTCGCTAGAATTTCGGTGTTTTTCGTAGGTAACTGTCCCTACCTTCTCTCTGTCTTTCCATGGCAAAACACGTTGGCAGAGCGGCGAGATAGCGAGGCTAGAGGAGTCTCTTGGAGATCGTGAGCGTCTGAAAGGTGCCGTGCCGCGTCGAACGAAGCTACGTACAGGAGTGAAAAGAGGTTCGAGGGAAGAGAGAGAGGAAGAGATAGAGGTAGGAAGACGGTACGAGGCTCGTTCTCAAAGCTGGAATGCCAGAGGCGTTCGTACACCTTGCTCCTTCCTCTTGATAGCATGCAACCGGCTCTCGTTATTCGTCGTCCTCCGGTGTCCTTCCCGAGAATCCTGTTTATTCAACCACTTGCCCCGCTATCGCCTAATCGCCGAGTTTCCGCTGACGTTGTTTTCGGTTACTTTTCAGCTACCGGGGCCCAAAGTTTCGCCCGTTGGGAACGTCTTGGTGGTCTTAGGCGACCAAGTTGCTGAAATCACCGGGGAACGGACGAATTTTACAGCGCAGCGAGCGTGCCAAGAATCGCGGAGTGGCTGGATGGGTGTCGGAGTTGATGATTTCCGTGGAAAGTGTGGAATAGAATTTTTTTGCTAGGTGTTTCTCTTTTTGGGAAAATCGAGCTTGATTGGGGAATTGGATTTGGTTGGTGTTTTTATCAGAGGAATGAGTACTGTTAATTTATCTTTGTGCAATAGTTATGAATTTTTGTAAGACTCTGTTTTGATAGATGCCTGATTTCATAATCTTGCATAGAAAGAAATTAGAGCTCTTAATTCGTGTTTATGCAATAGCTATGAATTTTTGTAAGACTCTGTTTTGATAGATGCCTGATTTCATAATCTTGCATAGAAAGAAATTAGAGCTCTTAATTCTTGTTTGTGCAATAGGTATGAATTTCAGTAGAATCCTTTTTATCGGTAACGATAAATACCTAATTTCATGATAATTGCATACGAAGAAAGTAGAGCTCTTAATTCATCTTTATGCAATAGCTCTGAATTTTTGTAGAATCTTCATTATTTCCTTCAGGCATTATTTTGGTAAACTTTTGAATTTATCACGCACGACCGACCAAAAAGTCCTACGAGCAGGCAGAAAAGTTTCTCATAGTAAAGAAGATTTAACAGTGTTTCGTTGAAGTCGCCTTGCACAGTGTGAATTTCTCATTTATAGCGTGCAAAGCACGACGAAGCAGGCCGCATTCCAAGACCGAAGTCTGACTTTTGCTCGGGAAACTAATTCGTCATAGTGACGTAATCTGATTAGCTCATGCTCGTTAACACTCGCCAATATGGCCACAGCCTATCGATCAAGGTCTGATGAAGACGTGTCTGATGCTTCTGGATTCAAAGAGACGCGCAGTTACAATTGCGCGCACAGCTATTTATACCGTCGCGAAAAGAAGAGAGAGAGAGAGAGAGAAATACACGTCGGGATAAAATCATACGCGTCGAATGCATTCTTTATTGCCTCCCCGGTTCAATTTATCATTTAATTGTGAATTTCGAAAATGCGGCGAGCATGAAACGTGGATCAATACAAATCGATCGACGCCCGGATTCGATGATTTATTCTTTAAACATCCACGTTTGCGTGAACGATAAATAAAATATTGTTCGTATTAATCCTCTCTCTGCACTGCACAATTATCGTCGTGTCGGCAATTTTTAATAACCCTACTGTCTCTTCCACAAAAACACGCAACTCCGGCAATTCTCCCGTCTCGCCTTAAAAAATTCAACAAGGCGATTAATCCTTAGTATGCTTTAAGGGGACTAGGCAGTCAGATTTGGTAAAAATGTAACGTTTTTTGGGAATTTATTACAAGGATAGGAATTAAAATTGCAACTTGTACTTTTAGATATTACTTATTAGTACTATGAGGCGTAAAAAAAAATTTTTATGAATGCCTAGTCCCCTTAAATATCGAAGAGACATAGTAGAGCGAAAAGTCGGGCTGATAAAATTGCAACTTGTACTTTTAGATATTACTTATTAGTACTATGAGGCGTAAAAAAAAATTTTCATGAATGCCTAGTCCCCTTAAATATCGAAGAGACATAGTAGAGCGAAGAGTCGGGCTGGCTGAACTTTCATTATCGTTCCGAAGGGACCGCTTCGGTAAAAGTTCCTTCAAAAATTCATTTCGCTATCTGTTTTACTAATTCACCCCCGTCGAACGTCGATAAATTGCCGTCTCTACTTCACCACGTTAAAAACGAGATGAACGAGTAAACAAGTTTCGCGTTTCTGATTACAGAACATCCTGGACAAGTTCAACCCAGGGGCGAGGCAGCTGATCAATGCCGGCAAGGCGTATTTGAAAGCACTTCATGGTGAGTGAATTAAATTGAATATTTAAGGGGGTGATGGGACAGATCGAGATAGCCGGAACGAAAGAAAAAAGAAAAGACGGCAAAAGTTCGCGGGACAAATAGCGACAGACGAACGATGATGAAGAGTCTCGAGGAGAGAGATGGTGGAGAGGTATGGGCAAGGTTAAAATGAAGAAAGAAAGAAGAAACGAGCGTGGAGTGAGCTTTATGCCGTCTCCTGGGTCCTGTTTCAGGATCGAATTGCCAGCTCGTCAGAATTGCACACCGGAGGGGTGTCAAGCTTCTATTTCATTCTTTCTCCCTTGTTCTCCGTGTTTCTGTCATCGAACGTGCCCCCCCTTTTCTCCCAACTTCCCACACCTATGATCAATTGGTCCTTTTTTCCATCATGGGACTCCAAGTTCTTCCCTTTTCGCAGGATGTGTAAACAGGGTTCATCTGAACCTAGGTACAACCCTATTCAATTAAGCTCTTCGCTCCTTTTGAATTATTTTGCCATTTGGACGTTACGTGCAGTTTGTTCGTTTTTTCTTAAGGGCTAACTTGGGAGATGAGGACTCGGTTGGTTGATTGAGTTT